TTCTGTTATCTTAATACACACAGATGATATAAAGTGTGGTTACTATAACATTAAGTACAGAATTTAAGTATGCGAAATAAGTTTGCATTTATCACTACTAAAATAAGATACACATATAGAGGCAGATAGTAAATCTGTAAGCTAAAAATTTGTTAAGCATGCTAAAAATTTGAAATTTCGAAAGTTCTGCTTTCAAATTTCTCTCAAAATCATTGGCTGTAAAATGAATGGAACAAATATGTGCAGCATTTGGATTCCATTTCCCAGCTTGCCTACAGCATTGAATCCAAATACTTCTTGATTTGAGGGAAATTTATGATATGTTATATCCTTAGTATCTGGATTACATTTTGTTTTTATGTAACTATTATTGCACACAGCTACAGTACATCGTGTTCCAGGCATTTTTAATCACACATTTAAACCAACACCGCGCACATACAGCAGAACAGCATCGGCGGGAAGGAATTTGGGTCTACGAGTGACGTCATAGAGCATGCGCAGTAGCTATCGCTTTAAAAAATGCACCAACCTTATAAGAAAGTATTTTACTGATCTTGATACTGGCTAAGGATCTTACCATGCATTGGGTGCGTTAACACATTATTCCCTGCAGGTTAAAAATAGACCAAAAAGGAGTTCGAATGGAAATGGTGGGAGACTTAATCTCGGCTGTTGACAAAAATCCTTCTCTACTTGGCAGAATTGTTTTTGGAGATGAGAAATGGTGTTTTTTGTACGACCCACAAACCAAGAGAGCATTGGCAACGTTGAAATCATAACAATCTCCATGGAAGCAGAAATTCTGCCAAGGTCGCTCTAAAGGAAAGTTCGTGCTAGAGGTATTCTTCGATATCCAGGGCATTGTGCATCTGGAATTTATCCCTGAAGGATGCCCTGGGAACAAAACTCTATGTCAAAATCCTGCATGGTTTGCATGAGTCGATGCAGAAGAAAAGACCAAAAATGTGGGCTGACAAGTCATGGGGGCTGTTGCATGACAACGCTCCTGCTCACCGATCCTTACTCGTCAATGACTTTCTTGTGAAAACGAAACAACTGTTTTGCCTCATTCTCCTTACTCACCTGATTTCGCACCCTGTGGTTTCTATTTTCTAAACTGGCAAGATGCTTGCTGCAGAGTCATCGATTTCAATCTTCAGATAAAATTAAATGTGCATCGTAGTCTAAATTAAAAGGACATGGCCAAAAATTGGATTTCAGACATGCTTTGATGAACTTTATAGGCGCTGGTAAAAGTGTGTTGTTGCACAAGGGTCTTATTTTGAGGAGGATGTGTTTCTTCAATTTAATTCATAATATGTTTTACATTGTAGCCTCAACCCGAACTATTGAATCCTACCTCGTATGATTGTTTTATTTTGCTGCATGAAACAGATGCTGAAATATATATAAAAGTGTAATACTTTCGACATGGTCATTGTGACTAGCGTAAAATGTGGTACTTCACTGATTAAGTTGTGATAAATGTATGATTGAGCTGTGCAAAGCTGTGTTCATGCAAATTTTTTCTCTCAATGATCATGGCCTCAAGAAATCTAAAAAGTGTCTTTTTATTTTTCAAGAAAAGGGATTTGTGAGTCTTCTGTGCAGTGTGGCCATGAGCATTCTTAGCAGGCTATGCTAAGTGAACAAAGTGGTGGTATTGATTTGATGGTGATAAAAAGAGTGAATTCAAAAGACTGTTCAGGAAATGGTGGGGCACACTTGGTGCAGAGTGTATTCAAAGTATCCAGAAATTGCAGACAAAAACTTGTAGGTTGTGCAAGGCTTCATCGGGTCATTCAAATTACACAATCGATCAAAAAATGCACAGATTGCTTATTGAAAGTGATAGCTGTAAAAAAATCCTGAGTCCACATCATTAGCAGCATGCCAAAGAAAAATGGATGAAAGACTATTTCAGCACTTAGAAAAACTATTTAACACAGTTTATTATGGCAAAGCACAATAAGCCATTTCTGACTTTAAACATTTGGTTAAACTGCTTAATAAATTTGAAGTAGGGGATGCTATCAGTGAATACTGAGACAATATACATTGCAATGTAGAATTGTATTAAGAGTTTATTTTTCGTATATTTAGAGTTTATTTGCCATATTGCTGCTGTTATCCATAAGGAGGTAACTGCAAAAATTTTTTTTATCTCAGTTGTGTTCTTCTTTTAGATTTGCAACTGATATACAAAGGGAGAACTAATAATATTGTTATGTTTTTTTGTATTGATTTATTTCATTTTCTATTTTTAATAAAATTGTTATTAAATTGTTTCATTTCCCTGTGCAGTTCTGCACTGACTTATTTGAAGAGAAAGGTATGCCATAAAAATTAAAAATACTGGAGCACATACATTTAATAAATACATATCTCATAATTGCATGCTTTTGCTTTACGGAAAAAATCGAGAAAATACCAGAATGTGCTTGTGCATGATTTAAAAAGCTTATGAAAGGAGGAAAAGAATTTAGAAAACTGTTGTTGTTTACTGTAGCGAATTTGTGGTGAAATTGGACTTTTTCTATTTTGAATTAGTTCTCTTGAGCGTTTTTAGTAGTTTAAAAGATAACTACTGTGAGATATCTGTATATTGGACACTTGAAAACATTAATTTCTTTTTTGAATTCAAACCTAGGCTCAATGATACGGTAGCCAGCATCGCTAAGTACTGTTCAAATTAGGGCCGTTGCAACAATCAGACATCACACATCTGTCCATTTTTACTATTTAAGGCATGAGGAAAGAGAATGTATTATTGGAACTAGAACATTAGTTTTCGTATGTTTCATATTATGAACAATATAGTTACATCACATGCCCTTTAGCAAATGACGCTTTTCCAGAGAAGATGTGAAAGAAGTGAACACAGAAAATCTTAATAATAAAAAGACAAAAATAAAAGTTTTGTAAAGCCATCTTACTAAGAAAACAGAACATTGATTTGATAAACTGAGAAAAGACTGGAAGACATATGCTAACACTTAATGCAGCATCAAGAATTCTAAATGCATACTGCTATGCTGCTTTTAAAATTTTTGTTGAACTGTATATGATATAGTTGCGAAGGAAATTATATATAATAGTAAAGCTAAAAAGGGGAGGGAAAAAAAAAAAACTTAATAGGAGTGAGTGTAACAGCTGACTGGTGAATTGACTGCGAGGTCTGTGAGAGCGTAAAAAAACTTTTGGGTGACATCTGAAAACTTTCAGATTTTAAAAATTTTATTTAATTTTTTGAGTGGCAGTGGAGCCCCTAAGGCTCTGTGGAGAACAGTTTGGAAACGCTGGTCTGCTCTGTTTGCTCAATGTGTAGTGTATAAACATGCAAGATCAATTCCATTTTATATGCAGATTTAATTTTTGTTTTTAGTCTATAAATCATTGCTTAGTCATAAGCACTTCATTCCATAAAATAGATTAAATAAATATAATGACGTCTAAATTCATTTAGGTTTCAGAAAAATTTTTTTGCCTAGTATTACATGGGATGATTGCAATAAGTTGATTTTTTATTCAGTCTGTAGTTAAATACTTCCCCCCTTTTTTTTTAATTTTTTTTCTATGATGACTAGAAAATGAGACCCTTTTTTATTGTATTCATTAAATATAAAAATTGCAAGTATTAAGTGCAGATATTTAATGTTTTGTATTGTTAATTTTTTCCCCATTATTTTACATCTGTGGAAGTTCTCAGTTTTAGTTAAATATAATTAGCTATTTTATACAAATAGATAATTCCTTTTCTAAATTTTTAGTAAAAATAAAGACAGATTATATATTTAATTTTAAAGCTTACATGAGAAAAATCAGTTTCGTTTGTTTTAGAAGAAATAAGTATGGGTTGTATGTTCAGGCAAATAAAATAGAAATAATTTTATTGCTTAATTTTTGAGAGGGGAAAAAAAAAAGAGGAATTTTATTTTATGAAAACCAATATGTATAATTTTTTTAATCATATAATATATGTTAAAATCAAGCATGACAGGAAAGGGGTGTTTTTCATTTATGGTGCAACGAATATCTATTTGGCTACTAAAAAAGAAAAACATATATTTTACATGGATTTTTCAAATATCTGAATAGGGTGTAGTTTATTGCCAAGGTTCTAGGTGTTTATTAGCATTATAAGAATTTTGCTTCACATAAGGAAGAAAATGTGTAGAATTTATTATTCTTATTTGTAAACAGATTTTGTTTGCTAGTATTATAAAGAGTGTAAATAATTGTGAAAATTAAGTTTATGTGATGGATACACATTTATGTAAAAAAACTCTTGAAATGAATCTTGACAAATACTGAGTACAAGAGATATGTGTAGTTTGAAATTTAATCAATTTACACCTTAAAAGAATTCAGCTTAATTTTGTTATATAAAAGTTAGGGAAACAGATATGTGAGTTATAACAAAAGGTAAAAATATAAACATTGCCAGGTGAATAAAAACATATAAAAGTATTAAAACAAGAAACAAAAGTTGAAATAACATTTAAACATAGAATTTTTTTTAAAGCAGTCTTTGTTACTAAATTTTAGCATGCACAAAAAATATCTAGAAAAATCATTGGAAAATATTATTTATAATCTCACTATTACGTATTAATTCTCTTTGTTTCTACTAATCATTGTACTTGAGGATTTATTTTTTAAGTATATTAAGTTGCTTTATTACTTCTGCTTGCTTTCTAAGATAATTTAGTTTAAAATATTTGTTCTAGTGACAGTGTTTTGATCTGTATGTGCCACATATATTTACTTTTTTTTTTGTCCACCTATAATTATTTTATAAAATGGATTCTCTCTAATGTAAAGAATTATATAAATAATCTGTGATGATAGTCTTCTAAGCAGTACATATAATAGAAAGAACAAAATTCTATGTTTCATCTGGGGGGAGCATTTTTTTTTTAGATGAGAAAATATAAGCTGCTGCCTATTTTTATAATTTGTTATTCATAATTTTCTGCTTTTCTTCTTTTTTGAAGGTTAGATACAACTTTGGTAGACTTCAGTGATATGAAATGGGAGCGAGGAGATATCAGTTTTTTATTCATTGGTGATGCCAAACCATCACAATCATTAGTTGTCTTGGATAATAAACTCAAAGTTTTTCAAAAAATGCGTTATGAGGTAATCATCAAGCAATACTTTTTTACTTTTTATTTTCTTAATTCAATTTCATAATTTGTGTAAAATGCTGCTAACATATTTTTAAATATTAATTTGAATATAAATATTATTAACAATCTAGTTTATGTAAGGGTATGCTGAGGGTTTTTTTTTTTTTTTTTTTTTTTTTTTTTTTTTTTTTCATTTTATAATTTAAAATTTTCAAAGCAATTTCATAATATATGTAATGATGTACATTCATGTGCAAAATTAAGAGAAGTTGCAAATTATGTCTATTTTTATGTGAATTATTAAACAAAAGTATTAATTATGCAAATATTCAGAGTCAAATACTTAGGCATACATATGCATGTCTGCAGAGCTGTGATTGGGGAGAGGATATAAGCACATGAGGGGGTTTTAGCTGATTTATACGCTCGTATTCCATCATGTCATTTGCCATGCCTCTCACTAGAGTTGGATAAATTTTATAAGGTATTTAAAATGAGTATCCACAAATATATGGATGATGGAATAAGATGGAGAATAATCAATAGATTGGTGACAGGCCAGTCACAAGCACAGTGGTTACAGAGGTCAGTGTAATGCCCAGTACCATCTGCAATTTGCAGAAATTGTTTCAGGACCCTGCATCCATTTTGCAAAGGCGTGGACAAGCTTGACCAAAATCCTTAACGATGAATGAGGCTTGTTGTTTTGCACTTTTAGCGCATTGATGCAGGTCTGCTACAGCTTCACAGCTTTCACGTTGTAAGGATCCTAAGTTTTACTAACGTTTATTTTATTTTAAAATTGTACGATCACTTCTTATTTTGTACTTCTGGCCAGAATTAAACACTTTAACTTATTTATTATGCAAATTTGTCTTGGCGAACGCCCAAGTACTTAAAGTTGTGGCTTTTTGCCAAGAGAGAGAGAGAGAAGGAGTTATAGGAAGCAAGCCGCTTGCCACTGTAGTTTTACGAGTTTTCACTCTGTTGTGGTTGCTCCCCCCCCCTTACATATTTGCAGACGTATCGTAGTTTTGGCAGCTCGGCGTACTACATGCGTACCTTTTTTAAATAAACGCCAGTCTTAGTGCTAGGCATTTGTATACTAATTCAAAGTTAGTTTTTAGTTATAGTTAGTATTGTTTTTATATTCTTACGTTCAGACCACAAGTGGTTGGTCTTTGTATTCCGAAGTTTGGAAATACCTGTAAAGCATTGAAATAAAGGGTTTCGTATACCCTTCCTGCTTGTGTTGTCTACTTCTCACCTTCTTGAACATAGCTTGAGTAAGCTCCCTGTTCCTATTCAGGACCATTCATGTTTCCAACGCAAATCAATAGAAACACAAGTCCTGACAACGTGAGCTCAGTTTTTCAAGCTAAATTCCGAATTAGCCAAGTTCCAAATTAACTATGTCATCATTGTTAAAGTCATATTGTATGGAAACGATGCAATGCAAAAAAAAAAATAAATAAATAAATAAATAAATAAAAAATAAAAAAAATAATTAAAATGAAGAATTAAGAAGCTATTGCTGCTTTAAGGTATAATTTTGATTTACACATATTTTGTCTTATATATCCCCCCTTTAAAGAGAAAAGTGTTTGTTTACAGAGAAACCTTTTTGAGAAGAAAAGCATTAGCAAATGAAGAGAAATGTAATCTGAAATATACAAATAGTAAAATTTTAACCCAAATTATTCAGGGTTGCCACGCTACCTGGAAAACCGGAAAATGTCAGGGAATTCGAAAATTGGCCAAAATAGTCAGGGAATTTTAGTCAAAATCTGGAAAAATCGGAAAATTTCATACAGCAATTAAAAAAAAAAAAAAAAAAAAAGCAAGTTTTGTGCCAATGTTAGAAGCAATCACTTTCTTGGGAAATTATGCATCGCGTGAGCATCATTCAGGCAGCTGGCATAGAGCCAATTTTCGCAGCTCAAATCAGATTGTCTTTTAGAAAGGGAAAGCAAGTTTATAGCAACTTTTGGTTTCCAGTAACCTCGAGAATCTAGAGACTCGCAATCGCACGTGCAGTGCATATTGAACTATAGAAAATATCTTCCCAGTCTCGTATAAAATAAAATTGGTTTAATCCTAGCATAGGATACTATGGAGGTTAGAATAGCCTCCATATACTACTCTGTTCTAACCTCCTTGTACGGTACACACAGGATTTGGCGACATCATGATGGTTGCTGACAATTTTCAAAATCCTGCCGTGGCCATAGCGTATACTAGGATTTTACTGCAAAATCTTTTGAACTTTTTTTTAATAAATCCCTTATTTGTCATTTTGCAGTAAAATAATAATAAAAAAATCAGTATCTAGGCTAACCATTTAATATAACTATATTTGCCAAATTTCCATTGATTATTGTAATTCAGTTTTTAAGTAATTAACTTTATATTAATGTTATTTGTAGCATGTAATTTTGCTTCTTCCCTCTAAATTTAGTTGTTATTAGTTAATAATACTTTCAAATTTCAGACAGTTTTCTCTAGCATAATCCTGGCATTAATTCTAGCAGTATGATGACATATTATCATGAAATTTAATGTACACTGCTCAAAAAAAAAAAAAAAAAAAAAAAAAAAAAAAGGACTGTGCTATATCTCCCGTTCTACTGGGCCGATTGACAAAATTCAAACTGCGTTTTTCATGTCTCGAAAGCGCGACTTAGGAATATATTAGATTTATATACATAGCACTATTCTAACATAGGTATTTTGACACAAAATCGAACGTTTTCTGAAATAACATACCAATTTTTTTACATATTTCGATTCTACGACTCAAATTACGCCTAAATATGAAATTTGTAAAATTTGGAGCGATTTACAGAAGAAATTCACAAATTTATGTTGCCACTTTTTTGTCAGTTTGCACAAGAATACTTCACTTGGCGAACTTCTTAATAAATGGAACCTAGGTTTCCTTTCCCTGAGAAAAAAAATCACCATCGTCCTTTTTCCAAATAATATCTTTATTATATTTTTAAATAAACTTATATTTTAAGTAATTTTTTCTTTTTTGAATTTATTTTAATTGTTTAAGTTGCACTTTTTTTTCGAAAACTCTTTAAAAATTCTATTTACCTATTCGAACTGCGTAAATAAAGGCGCAGCGTTTTTATTTATTTTTTTCAAATAGTTTTCTTTATATATATTTTTCGTCATTTTATTATTTTAGGTAATTTTAAATTTTTATATTTTATTTTAATGTTGTTTGCATTGTCTCTTCAGATAATTGTTTTAAAATTTTCTATTATTCCTTCGAACTGAGCATTTAAATATCTTTATTAATATCAATTTTCCAGAATTTGATTTTATTTATTTGAACTACGTTTCTTTCAGAAGAATATTTGTAACCGACTACGATGAGTTTTGAAAACTGCATACTATATTAAAAGAGAACTACGTAAAGCACAGTTTACACGCCTTTCAATGTTCCGTCAGAAAAGATATATATAAATAAGAGAGATGTATAACCGACATTTAACTTAGGATGACTTGCATACACTGTTAAACAGTTTTATCATGTGCCCATTGCTTTACACAGTTTTATCCTACATTTGGTTTCTTAAATGTTATTCATATTTTAGTCAATTTTTATTTTTGAAAGCAAGAATCAAATATCATAAATTGAAATTTTTTAAATTAAAAAAAACAAAACTGAATTTTTACGAAAAAATTATTTTTTTCTCTTTTTCTTAAGCATTCTGAAAGTATATTAAAAAGTATCCAACTTTTCGAAACATTTTGGTATTTGACAATCTTTAAATAAGTTATCGCCTCCATTTCATAAAAGCCCACAAACGGCCGAGCGGTAAAGACGCTGATCACTGGTAGTTCGGTCCGAGGTTCGAATCCCGCGCAAACGGGCTGGTTTGCATGGGTGTTTTCGTGGTTTCCCGATGTGTAACGTATACGAGGCCAGTTTCCCTTAGAAAGTCCTCCACGAAGGCATCCCATTTAGGCAGATAGCCCTCGTGTGCTTGCATAATTAAATAACCAATCCAATCCTTAATTAAATATAATTGATTTGTAACTTCTACTAGAACTGACGTTAAGTATTGAAGTGCAAATAAATAATATCGTGTGCAATCTTGATTAATATAAATTAAAATATTGCATTCAGACAGAAAGTTTTTTGAAATATTTGAATTACTTTATAAGAAGGATTTATTAATAACCATAATAATTACTTATTATATTATGATGATTAGGAAATCAGTTCTTGACAATACATTCTAAATTAGAATTTTTAGAATTTTAAATTAGAATAATGAAAATGTGCTACGCACAAAATACATTTTAGGATAAAAATGAGTTGATTTTTATGTTTTAAAACTTCTTGAATTCATATAATAAACATCGTATCCTCGTTGTTAATTGAACAGAATGTTGGGTGTTGTTTATATAATTATTCTACTTGTCCACAAAATCTGCTGACTTATCCAGCAATTAATAGCTGCAGATCATTTCTACATAACCATTGAACTTCCATTAATTCAGTCTCTAGAGGTTGTATATTTTATAATAATTGACTTTTATAAAAATGATTATGATAAATCTTATTTTCTATAAAAATATACTGTGCTTTAAAAATATGGATTGATAGTAACCAGCCCCTCTTTCAGCCACTTCAAAGCATCAGTTTTTAGAAATAATTGTGCAGTTAATGTCATAAAATTCAAATAAACATCAAATGAAAATTCTCATTTTAGACAATTCGATTTAAACGAAGTAAAGTAGCAGACGATAAAACGCCGAAGGTAAATTTACTCTTATTAAAAAAAAAAAATTAAAAATTTATTTAAAATAGCTTTTCATATATATTAATAAATATTTTTACGCATCATTGAGGGAAAAAATGTCATATAATTAATTCTCCGTAAAATTTTACTTGAAATTTAGGGTTAAAAATAGCTGTGGCAATACAGGTAACAAAATCCATAGACCACATTTGGTGTTATTATCGCTCAAAAAAGATGCCAAATTTCAAAA